TGTGAGGTGAAGTTCAGTTTAAAGTGGACTGTGATCACCATTGAGATTGCTGTCCATACACACAACTGCCTCAAAATGGCTACTTCAATCTGGCACTAAGTGTTGTGATAAGCTTTGTTCGCCGAGACTCGGTGGCTTAGAGGAATAGGTATCGACTGACCTCTTAAAAGTCCCTGGAGGTTTGATGCACACTACCAGATGATATTAAATAAATTGGAAATCGGTCATGGAGGGCAATGTATTCGAAGTGGGTAGTGTACAATATTCAGATGCCTTAGCTACAGTCGCAGTGATCGAGGTGAGAAAGTCTCACTTTAATGCGAATAACAGGCGTGTTGCCATTCATTCACACGGGTAGTACAAAGTGACTCTTACAATCAATAATTGACCGCTGTGACAAACGTTGCTCGCCGCGACTGTAATGCCCTAGCGAAAAAGATATTGGATGACATCTCGAAGTCATCATCATCATCATCATTACACGTTAGCTGGAGGTGGAAAACACCTCAGCTATTGTGCCGCAATACAAAAGACAAGAAAAGGAAAACAGTGGCAAACAGTGGCACGCCCGCTGAGTCCCCAGTAACGGATGGACATCGTTCCGGAGAGCTAACAGCTGACTGCCGTAAAAAGAGAATCATATTATGCCTAACAAGTGAGATCGTGATTGGAGGGGAATACTAAACAGGAGGGGGATGGGCAAAGGAAATCACAACACAAACGCCATTGGTGCCGGCTCCTAGCCATATCAGCAAGTGTGTCCAACCAAACGTGTTCATCGTCCTTAGGACCCCAGCCAGACAGTCGGGATGCACCAACCGACGCCAACTTCGAAGTGAGGGTTTTCATTTCTCTCGATCAAGTCATCACTTGGCCTCCCCTCCTCCTCTTCCAACCGCACCCACAACAAGCAAACAATGCACGTCGCGGGAGTCGGTGTGCTGGCATGCGCAACACGTGGCCCAGCCATCGGAGCCTGGTGCGTGATATAATGGTGTTGATCGGTTCACTCCCACTTCCTGCACCAAATACGCGACGTCGAACACGCTCATTGCTCACGCGGTGTTCCCACCAGACATGAGCTAAGCTACGAAGGCAGCGATGATCGAATGTGACGAGTCTCTTCATGTCTGTCGACCTGATGGGCCAGGATTCACAACCATATAAGAGAGTAGAACGGACGGCTGCGTTGTAAACTCTGCCCTTCAGGGCGAGAGTAATGTCGCGTCTGCGCCACAGGTGGCGGAGATTGGCAAAAGCACCTCGAGCTTTTGCTATACGGTTCGTAACCTCATCTTCAATCCCACGGGTGATAATATAGCTGCCCAGGTACTTGAATTCCTGAACGACTTCTAGCAGATCACCACCAAGCGTTAGCGCAGGGTTGGGTCCCTGCCAATCTTGGAGAAGTACTTTGCATTTCGATGGAGCAAAGCATAGCCCAAAACGATTGACAGCCAGTGCTAAGCGGTCCAGTGCTCTTTGGCATGTTTGGGAGCTGTCACAGATTAGGGGCAATATCGTCCGCATACTCCAAGTCAAGAAGTCGCTCACCAGGAAGTAGCTCCACACCTTCTAGGTCGTGTCCAGCGAACGCTGTTTCCATGACTTCATCAATAGCGAAGTTGAAGAGGAAAGGTGACAGCGGGCATCCTTGTCTCACGCCGCTGGTGATACTGAAGGGTGGCGAGAGTTTGCCATAAACCCTCACCCTGCCCGAACTATGCGCGTACAGCGCTTTGATAATGTTTACATATTTATCAGGCACACCTTTCCTCAGCAGACAGTCCCAAAGAACACATCGATCGACCGAATCGAAGACACCTTTTATGTCAAGAAACACGACAACGGTGGGTCGCCAATAAATATGGCGGTGCTCCAACACTTGACGCAATGTGAAGATGTGGTCGATGCAGCCCCGACCTCGACGAAATCCGGCCTGCTCTTCACGAATCTGGCTTTCACGAGTGCCAGTCAATCTGTGGAGAATGACAGAGGCAAGCAATTTAGAGGCAATCGAAATCAGACTGATCCCTCTATGATTGCCACATACCAAACGGGAGCCTCCCTTGAAAATTGGGACAATGACGGAGCGGTTCCAGTCTGTCGGGACTGTCTCCTGCTCCCAACGTTTTACTAGCAACTCGTGTAGATCATCTACTAGAGCAGGTCCACCGAATTTGAAGAGGGCTGGGGGAATTCTATCTGTCCTGAGGACTTATGCAATTTCAACAGCCGGATCTCACGTTCGACCTCTGCGCGTGAGGACGGATCCGAGGAGACGGCCCAAGGAGAAGGGCGCTCAATGCCCGAAGAAGAAAGCGATAACGCAGGTTTGTTAAATTGCCTTGCAAAATGTTCGGCCCAACGCTCCAAGCGTTTTGACAAGCTGTGGATCGGCTGCCCACTCTCGTCGTGTATGGTCTCGTTAACACCAGGTCTTCTGCTGCCTCTTTCCCGTATCAGACGGAATAACTTACGATGATTACCAACGGCAGCGGCTGTTTCCATCTCAGAGGCACGATGAGACCACCAGGTTTCGCGGTCCTTCCTAAGGCTAGCACGTAGTTTTGCTCTGAGATTTTTGCGAGCCTCATTGTATTCGCTTCCAGCCGGAATACGTCGGCGAGCATCCATAAGTTCCATAGACTGAGTAGAGACCCAGTGTCCGGTTTGGCAATTTGCTTTACCACATGAAGACATGCCTGCGGACAGTAACGTTTGACGAATATGCAACCAGTGATCTTCAACGGTGTTTAGTAGGCGCTTACCCAGCCCAGATGTCAGCGCACTATGGTATACATTCAGAACATCTGGCTTCGCCAACTGGCTGGTGTCAATCCGTTCACCTCGACATTGCGGACGTCCAACGAAACGCACCCGGAGGTCGGCACAGACAAGTGTGTGGTCAGAGTCCACGCTCGTGCTCCAAATTGAGCGACAATTCTGGACACAGCCCCTCCAGCGGTAACTGATCGCGATATGATCGATTTGTGTCCATGGTTGGCCCGAGGCTGATGGCCGCCAAGTCACGCTTCTGCGGGTGCTGTGTCGAAAGTTAGTGCTCGCGAGAAAGAGGCGAGCATCTTCACACAGATGTAGCAATCGCTCACCATTATCATTACGCGAGCCTACACCATGTTGGCCGCCCAGATGAAGCTCATCAGAGGACAACTTTCCGACTTGGGCGTTTAGATCACCAGCCAACACCACAGTATCCGTGCTTCTTCTGTAACGAAGGAGCTCGTGAAGTTGCTGATAGAAATCATCTTTTACCGAATCAGTGCTACAGTTTGTAGGGGCGTAAGCCGCAATGACAAACAGGCACCGTTTTTCCCCGCGCGACTTCGTAGCAAGGAAGGAACCAGCTAATCTAACGGCACACATCCTACTGTTTACTGGGATCCAATCAATCAGGGCAGCTTCAGCCCGGGGACTCAAAACAATGCCGACGCCAGCTTGACCGGCATTTGAAGCTGTATCATCGCCAGATAAGCGCAATGAGAATGTGCCGCCAGTGTCGCATGTGGGGGATCTCAGGGTAAGTATGGAGCTCGAATCTTGCAGACGGGTTTCTGATAAACAGTAAATATCGATCGATAGGGTCTCTAGTGTGCGGGCAAGTGCTGCCTGTTGGCCAATCTGCAGCAAAGTGCGCACGTTGAAGCATGCCAGTCTTAGCGAGACGCGAGGACTCCAAAGGGAAACGGATGAACTGACGTTGTCCAGCTTCGAGTCGCAACGCAGCCATCTATGCCTGGAGAGTGCGAGTAAGTACGAGACCGGTAGTAGAACCACATGTTGAAAGCTGGCAACAGCAAACATTCAAGCTGGTTAAAAAAGATATTAAAATAGTGCTTAGGCGCAACGAAATACGAAGTTCGGTAACTTCAACTACCGATGTATCTGACGTAGAACCCCTATTAGACCTGCAAAGTTTTCCCTAAAAGTGCGTTATCAGGTTGCGGCGCACCACTAATAAATAGTGTGTGTAAAAACGAGCAAGCGCGAGGGATTAAGAGAAATCGTGGATCGCCGCGGACGAGGAACACGTAGTGCACAGCTCGAGCTCTACCGATACGTTGTGAAGGAAAGGGCACAGCAGTACGAGGTGCGCAAATGGATCCGAGTTTCTATGTTCTGTTATGCTATCTAGACATGAGTCCACTAGTACAGAATTCGTCTGAACTACGCGACGTTCCCAACAAGGAGACAATCTGTGGCATTATCCAACCGCGTTTGGTCTCCAAAGTTATATATCCCGATGTAGACGGTCAACAGGCACACGGAGGACATGATCATATCAATGTAGCTGTTTAAAAATCAGGGTTGGCGCTGCGCAAGCTGGTTTGCGACAATGCACTAATAGATGAGCATACACGAGGCTCACTTGACGGTCCCACTGGAAAAAGTGAGGTTACGCAGGCCCCGGTGGACAAAGGTAACTATCAGCGCCACTAAAGCGCAGTGTATGACACTGATCGCGACGCAGAGTCGCGCAGTCAACATGTATGCACGAGGTGTTGAAAAGCAACAAGTACAAGCCTCGATACGATTATCGACATATTAGATGAGTGGATAACCAGAAATTATACTGTTAACAGAATAAGTGGACCGGCTAAGCAAGTTAGGTGTTGGTTGGACAAAACACGAGCATGACTGACATGTCACCGGAGGCAAACAACAATACCTTGAACGCACCGAGTCGGTCAACAGTAAGGACGTAATTCAATCTTTGATACGAGTTAAGAGAACACCATTACGTCACGGGCTTTAGAAAGGAATGGGAACCAAGTTTCCTCTAACACCCCCATGGATAGGAAGATGGTCTAAAACGGCAGCGGAGTGACTATGCAAGCGCAGACAGGCAAAGTTGAACATGAGAAAATAAATGGCTTGCACCAATTCATCCCATTCAGGCCCCCGGACGTTAAAACTGGTGTTTCTTCTAGGCGTGCATAGCTCCGACTTGATAAATTTGCAACTTTCTAGCAACTCACGCAAGTAGAGAATACCGTCCCACAACTTGAATGAGACCAGCAGCTTTAGATAACACCTGTGGTTCGTACAACCATTTGTTTAAAGTAAGGCCAGCACAGGTGAGTAAGCCTCGTATGCACACGGTTCTGGTCTCGGTGAAAAGAACGGTTTCATTCTCCTTGTCGCCGTCCTGGCTGAACAGATCACCACCGTACGTTGTGCCTCCACTTGCTTTTTTCAGAACGGACAAGTTTTCGTTCAATATGGCCAAAATGCTAGAATCCCGCAATGGGGGCTGAGATGTCGAAAAACAGAAAGAGAGGGGAAGATAAAAAATAATGCATTGTCATAATCGCCACTGAACAGATGAGGCTGTGAACATTTTGCATCACAAGACATGGGATTAAGGCAGCGCCATCGAAGCAGCAAGCACATAACCAAAGTGTGGCTCTAATACCTCCGAAACAACAGCTAGAAGAAAGCACAAAACGAACGCGCCTTAACTCGAGCTCAGAAAGACGCTGTAAACATCGAATTCGTACAGAGGAAAGCGCACAAGTTGAGTTAAACGTTAATCCTATGCCAAGAAAAAGAGTGGACGACTGTCGCATCCTTCCGGGATAGTCAACAGTCTGTATTCCATCTGTCGTGCACAGGGCTAAAAATTGAGATCCTACTCTCACGAGTACGTAGTGAAAACTCCTGGGACATGGAGGACAGCAAAGATCGGTGTGGTTGTTATTAATGACGAATTCAAGTATTGCCATCTAAACCTCCCTCTCTGTAATCAAGAGGATATGTTGAACATAACTGTGTGGGCTGAGTTTCATCGAATAAGAGGAATAATAGCAATGTTAGCGTAACAAGTCAACCTGTGCGAAAGTACAAGTCAGTAAAACGCAGTATTCGGCTCGTAACGTAAGACAGCAGAACACGTCAGTTTCAGCAGTACGTACGCATAATACAATGCCGAGCCTCAAACACAAGGTTTCCAACAAATGAAACCAAACCGAGAAATGGTTACTTTGATGTTAAGTTGGCGTGTAGTGACGTCAGTGAGTCCATCTAATAGGAAACAAGTGAACTCGGAAGGCGTAGATGCCACATTCTTCCCCCCTTTAGTTGGAACTACCCCAGCTAGCCGGGTCGGCGTACTCGGTCTGAGTGGCGACACTGTGGAGACTCCGATTGATCGGCCTTTTGCAGTTATTCCTACTCAGTGAGCGGCCTTACCGGTGAGTTAACTGGCAGGACCGAAAGAGAGTGGGGCGAACATGGTCCATGCGTCGAATGACTACCACGCCGTTCGGTAAAGGCACTTCCGTATTTTGTCCTACAACTTCGCGCAAAACTCTAGGCAGCCAGTTCGTTTCGTTAGGCAACCTAAACCGGTTCGTTCTCACAGAGCTGCCGATCGACTGCCCTCCGCCTTAGGCTTTGCTTATTTGACCTCAACTTGTAGCCTCTGATCGGGAAATACCAAGTCTAGTCGTGTCCTTAATCTCCGTCCGAACATAAGTTCGTCGGTACTCTTACCAGGCGTTTCGTTCGGTGTGGAACGATAACCAACCACTGTCCCCTATGGCTCGGTGGGTTCAGCTGCTGGATAGTTGGCGCAAGCCTCTATCGGTAATGTGTTAGAAAGAAGGATGCGAACAAGTGGCGAGCGCGACTGCTGCTTTTCCGGATGGGGATTGTGCTATGTGGCTTATGAGCTGCTGGGATGAATACACTAAAATGGCGACCAAAATCCTCCTACTCATGAATAAAACAAAGAAATTTATTTAACTTTGTTCGCAGTGGAGCCGGCAGTTGTGTGCGTAACCCGTTCTTAACCATTTGGACCGCTCTTTCATTGAATCCATTAGAAGCTGGGTGGTAAAGAGCGGATTTCACATGAAATATGCCGTTATTTCGCAGGAACTTCTAAGATTATTGACTAGCAAACACGGGTCAATTGTCTGCCACCAGCGTGAGTGGTATACAGAAAGTTGTAAAGGTCGTGGGTTTAAATCCGGAAGGATTCGACGGGTGTGTACTACTGATGAGTCGACAGGAAGAAATGACCGTCTATCACTTTCCTGGATGTGTGGTGGCTGTCTGCCCAAGAAATCCCTTAATACTCCCTACGTTGTAAAGAACGGTTGCACGTACGAACCTGTAGTCTCTGACGTGGCTCGTGTTAGTGGAAAAACCTCGATCCATTTCGAGTAGGCCTCGATCAAGAGAAGAAACATTTTTCCGTTGAAAGGGTCGAAGAAGTCAGTCTGTACACACTCCTATGATTTACTGGGCCATTTTCATGGCCTGTGTGGTACCAGAGGGGCCTTCCTTGTGTGTGCCGATAGGCGTCGCAGTGCCGGATTAACTCCTCAATAGCTCTGTCAAGGTTGGGTCACCACACATAGGATCGTACAAGTCCATTCATCTCCATGATTCCCGGGTGTTTCGAGTAACTCGTGTAGAATATTTGGTCGCAATCGGAGTGGTATGATTGTTCTGGATCCCTAGAGTAGACATCGATATTCAAGACTGAGTTCGGAGCGTCGAATAAATTATGGTAGCAGCTGCGGATAACATTTATCAGGACATCTCTGGGATACCAGACGCTTGACCTTGGAAAGTAGTATGTCCCGTTCGGTTTCTTAACGGATAACCGCTTAGCACCGGATTTCCATGGAGAAAAGAGGAAACTTCTTGTTGTAACACAAAATGTAGCTTAAACAGTTTATGACATTAAGGGTGCATTTGATTACGGAACCACAAATGACCGCACTGCACAATCGAGTTATCAAAAATATCGAAGATATTACGAGACGCTAGAGGATGAAGAGGCTGGTGAACAGTCATCGGAAGTGGACAACGATTAAGTAATGAGCTTTGTTAAAGTTGATCCGTGCATAACTGTCTAAGATCTTGCTTCTGACGCAGCGGTATCTCAAGCGAGTTTTCAAACATGTGTGGAAGACTAAACTGTCGAAAAAACTTGACAAATAGGCGCAGTACGAATTGAGTAAATACCACAGAAATTCATCAAATGTAGACTCAGTCAGGCAGCAAGCAGATGCCAGGAAAAGCCCCGCACGGTCATTTCATCGTTTCGGGAATTGTCAGCAATGCGCATTCCATCCGACCCATGCATGACTCGAAATCGCAACTGGACCGTTGACCGTCTGTGATTGAGACAATTGAGCAACGGGGGACGTCAGCGATCGCCGTGACTGTTACTACCCACTGAATAGCACGTTATTGCCGTGAAGAGTACAGCGAGCCAGGTTAAGAAAGACGAAACAGCGTACAGTGCCTTTCCGGGAGTGTGATGACTGTCTAACTATCAAGATGAACTTCCACCTGGAACATCCAACTACACTGTGATAGCTTGTGCGCCTGATTTAGCAGCCGAATCCCGACAAGTATGCATGCCTGAAGTGACTCTTGATTCTCGTCTGAGCGCAAGGTTTGCACCTGACTGGCTGGCTCCACACTGTCTCACCATGTCAGAAATCCAGTTCACCAAGCCAAGTCATGCTATATTACTCATTAACTCCTCACCAGCCTGTGCTACTGAGTATATGCGACCGTCTCTGTGTAGCATGACTAGCTGAGGTGACTAAGCGAAGCAAATACGTGTGTGATTTCAGTGCATAACTGATTTCTACCTCCTGTACTGCTGTTGCGTCGGGATTCTTTAGTAACTGATCCTGCTTACAATTCTTTGATTTCTACCAATTACAGAAATCCGTTACCTGCGTGATATTAGTTCGATACACTAAGAATATTACACCTACCTACTAATCCTTTGTAATATCAATGCCGTTGTGTTGAAGTGTCGACTGTTCTTGTTCGGCGCAATTTGAACTGTCCCTTTTCCGACCGAATTGTGACTAGCGATGAAAAGCGGACCCTTTGCGATAATCGACAATTGACTGCTCAATATTTGGACGACGATCATGATGCAAAACTGTTCACACAGTCGGAACTGCACCTGAAAATTTTATGGGGACCAATTCCTGGTTTGTAGCAAGTCTAACCCATCACAGCTTTCTGAATCCAAACGAAACCATTGCAGCGGAGAAGCACAGTCGACAAGTTGCTGAAATTCACTGAAAAATTTAACGCATGTTTGAGGCACTAATTAGCAGAAAGGGAACAATGCTTCTCCGTGACAACGCTCGGCCGCACATCGCACAATCAAACCTGTACCAGCTGGGCTACGAAAGTTTGCCACTGATCTCTTGTTTGCCGATTCCGATTTTTATAACAACTGGATAAATAGCATCGAGAACAAATGCTTCAAAACTCGAGATGCTGACACCGCAACCGGGGAGTTCATGGCCACCAGGAGTCCGGAATTTTATTCATGGAGGATAAATAAACTTGTTCCTCGTTAGTAAATACGTCGATTCAAGTGGTTTCTATTTCGGTTTAAAATGTTACGTTTAATTCAAGAGAGGTGCATTCAAACTGAAATTATAGAAGGCAATAAACTTTGTCAGTAAGCTATTATTTGAGCTATCTTAGGGGAAAGGCAGGGTATTCCAATGATGTGGACGCGTCACAGGTGGTTAATGAAAAGGCGTCTGATTGCAGCAACATTCAATTTTAGCAACAGACAGGTGTGAAAATTGCAGTTAGACGAAACCAAGCAACATACATTCGCAAGATCAAGAGGTCCATATTGGTGTTAGAACTCACAGACGAAAGCTCGCGATCAAATGAAAGGTGACATAAATAGGCCACGGCGAAACGGGCGAGAAGCCACAAATTGTCCTGTATGAGTTGGGCGCTCCCGAGACCCGAACCGGCCTGTAGCCACAGAAGTCGGTATAGTGAGGCAATGAGGCTACAAAGGAAAGGCAAGAGGAAATTGAAGGCAACCAACAAGACAGGAGGAGGACATGCAGGACAGTATCGACAACTCACCGAAGAAACAAAGGTACATTGTCTAGTTGCACTTTAGGTGGAGGCCAAGCTTCACTGAAGGCAGAAAATTGGCCACTGGCAGCAAGATGTAAAAGCCGACAGCTCATAACGCAATCGACGGAGGCCTCATTGTTAACAACTACAAGTTGATGTGGGATCTAGAAATAAACACACAGAGAGTGGAAATTAAATGTAACGAGGGGAAGGAATTCTGGCAAATGACGTAAAATCCTAAACCTGTGACGAAAGCACATGGCTAGGAGCCGACCCCAGTGGCGGTCGTGTTGTGAGTTTTTCTGTCCTTTCTATCTAGCTTAGCCTGCCTTTCCAACCACGATCGCAGTCTTGAAGCATGATATGACTTTTGCGACATAATAGCCAGCTGCTAGCTCTCCGGAACGATGCTCATGCGTTACTGGAGGCTCAGCTGGCGTGTCACAGTTGCAGGTATTTTTCTTCTTCTCTGATGCATTGCGGCACAATAGCTAAGGTGTTTCCCGCCTCTAGCTAGTGTGTGTAACGATGACGTCATGGCGGATTCCCAGTTATGTGCAACCATGACAGAACAAGTGAATATACGGAAGTGTAACACCCGCGTTTGATGTTGTGTAGCCACCGCAGAAAGCAACATACAGTCACAGATTAAAACGGATGACCATTTGATAAGCGTTGGGAGGAGTGAAAAGTGACCAAAGCAAGTGAGTGATCCGGAGTGCAGTTAATCACACAAAGAGTACTGACGCATATGGCGAACGGTATCCACTTCCGTTACAGTGACAGCGAGCAGACTCAGGGCGTTTGCACCTGCACTGCATCACTCACAGCTCCATTCACACACCATATTCAATGTAAACCCCAGGAGTTGTTTCCAAGGTTTGTAGCACTGAACATTAATCGCAATAGTTGTGTGCACAAGTTAAACCTTGATTCTAGCTGTGCCATTGGCATTCCTTACCCGATCTACAACAAGAGAATAGGGCACAGTGAGAGAAACACTCGGATGACATGCGCAAGACGTAACTGAGCCATCTCAATCGCTTCAGCGAGATTAACTTGTAGAAGGGAATAGTTGTATCCTCTGAAACACGACGCCAAACATAGCTGCAATAACGTCGGTGTTGTCACTACGAAAGAACAATCCTACTTAAACACCTGTTATCGAAAACAGAGCGTCGGTGTAAGCCATCAATGCGAACGAGTAAGAATCCAATTCCGTATAATAAAATCGCTTGGATGGAGTCGATGTGCAGCAAAAAACAGTAATGGGATAAGACATGAAATTTAGAAAACGAACGACAGAAACTACCTGACCGCCCTGTACCGGCTTCTTGTCCTATCCTATATGACCAGCAAGTCAACGGAATGACTTGCTGACAAGTAGATCAGTGGAAAAAGCAAGCTGAAATTCATATCCGTTTGGGTGACAGAGTAAGCCAGATGACCAACACATGCCAAAGAAGAAATGACAAATGCTTACGGAAAACTCGGTGTACCAGTCGAATACCGAACGAACCACCTTGGAAAGGGAACTTGGCCCCGGGACTAAAAAATGCCCCGTGACCAAAAGGATCCAATGTAAATCTTCGTACAAATCAAGCGTAGCCTGGGACACCGGCTCGCCATGCGTCCGTATCAACTGGGCGATCCGTTCATCAACCAACTGAAGCAATAACTTAATGGAGTAGTCCGGGGCGGCTACTCCACAAGATCCGCAAGCGAATAAACTATCCTGTGATGGGTGTAGAAAACAGAAGAGAAATGTAGGGATAAAAGTGGCTGCACTAAAAGTTAAGAGAAATCGATGCAAAGTAGGCATTCCTAGAAAAGGCACAGAGCATTCGTTTGATGAATCACTTAGTAGATGTTAGGCGTTGCGCAATAACAACACTGCATTCCAGATCCACTTTAATTCTTGTCTGCATTGGAACGCAGAGAACAACAACTGAAGCTCTTACTCTAAACCACCGTGTCGCAAGCAACGCCTGTCGAAACGCAGTGTTTAGAGAGGTCAATACCCAACATTTATTTGCTCGGATAAGGCTGCAGCGACCCAAATGACTGAGATCCGTTTCAAAGTGAAGCGCGTCGTAATCCACTTACATAAAATGACTCCTCGTGGATTGTTAATCAGTGTGAGAAGCGCTGTCCGTCGTGGCCCAGTTGTTTAGGTGTAGACGCTGCGGCTGATATCGTAACATTGCGGGCTCGAGTTGCAGTCCTGCCATCTCTACCAGATGAGATCAACAGTCGAAAGCGATCTGAGCAGTTCTGAGCAGTAATTGCACATCGCCCAACATGAATCCTCTTCAAATGTTGACCCAGTGACCGAATTATCAGAAGTACACTTATATGTAAGGCAGAGCATCAGCAGTACGCCGGTACGCGAGGGTCGCCCGGTAACTACGCAGTCTCGAACATGCGCCTTAGGATTGCAAGGCAGGCTTGTGATTCTTAAGGCTACGGGCCAGCAAAAAATGAATCGGCAGCACACCGATACGCAGTACCGACGTTTCGCTGCTGCGCAACCATAACTAGTTGCACTTGGGCTAAGAATACTGCGATGGTCACCCGGTCTCCTACGTAGGCTCGAACCTACGCTCTCGGATTATTAAGCAAAGTTGTGAGATTGCGCGTCACAATCCATTCACACAACAAGCTGTTCAAGATAGACCCCCAAAGGACAAATACGTTTTTTGAACATAGAATTGCAATGCGTGAGAAACATAGATAATACGGAGTACATAATCCAGTGAGCATAATGAGGCACATGTAGCCATTGGGTGAACATAGGCTAGCCAAACAACCTCTACGTAGTGCCAGCTGGGTGTTTCGGATTAATCCTGTTCCAGCGAATGGTTCGGCGGCAGTGTTCCAGGATGTGTTCGATCCCTGGCAAGCATTCTCTTTAAACAAAGCCACAAATGTCTGTTCAACAACACTGTGACATGGCGGATATGACTTGCCACTAAATAAAATCACTATCTCCTGCCTTTCCAGAGAACCTTACCCTATTCACGAACGTCAGCCACTTCTAAGATATTACTTGATCCCTTTCCCTATGTTTGTGAATAAACCTGACACAACCACAAATTCGGTACAACAGTAACAGATTCACACAACATGATTACTTACCCAAGCACTTACATATATACATACAACATAAACCCAGTATGTACTGGTTAAATCGTAACATTGTGTAGAAGTATCGATCATACGCGTCTGTATTGCCATGAACATGTCTTTTTGGGCGTGTCCCGGATTGTTTGTTGGTTGAAGTATCTAAGTATAGCATGAGCTTCGCCCTATAGAAGTATAAAGTGATGCTCCAAGGTTAGCCTACACCAGCTTCCCCCCACTCACTCTTGAAGATGCACAACTTGAACAGATAGATAGTTTCGACTACTTTGGGAGCTGAGTTTCTCTTCGTAGAGCAAAAGCCCGATCAGCATGTGTCAAGCAGAGGCACTTGTGGCGTTGTCGCGACGTCCCATTCTCGCCAAAGGTCCGTCTTTACAACGCATCTGTTCGTTCATTATTGTTGGATGAGAGCGAGTCTTGGCCAATTCGCGTGGAAAACATGCGTCACCTTTCTTAAGGAGAATCACTCGTGTTTGGTGGCAACATCGAGTTAACAGTGATGTTCGAAGTCGCATCTTGGAGAATGCGAGTATTCCCTTCAATAAACTGGTTTTGCTGTGCCAGTTGAGATGGCTCGGTTACGTCCTACGCATGGCACCTGAGCGCCTACCGCGTCGCGCTGTATTCGCTCGTCAAGGACCTGGATAAAGGCGACCGCATGGTGGTCAGCCTTGCAGTAGGCAACAGCACATGAAATGGCTGACGTCGAGTCTAGCCGCCGTTGCACCCGTATGTCTTCCAGGATGGGGACCCAAGAATGAGGAGTGCCAATGGTTTAACACGCTTGAAGACATGGCCGAAAACCGGAACCAGTGAAAGAATTGTGTACAGAATTGTATTGATTCACATGTTTAATAGTTCGAAGATTGAAAATAAGAAAAAGAGAAATCGGCGCGTGAAAAACAAACTAAACATGTTTTGTTCTATATTTTCGTCAAAATGTTCTTTTCTTCTTGCGGCACAGTAGCTGAAGTGTGTTGCTCACCTGCAACTAGGTGCCACGATGACTATGACGAGGCGATTCTGCTGCTTGTCCGCTAATCTCCATGGGTTTTGTTGGCTCTAACTATATTTACTGGACTATTACTACTACAACTACAACAACAACAACGATGACGACGACAACAACGACAACAACAACAACTACTACTACTGCTACTGTTGTCGGGAATAAAACACTCATTTATTTATGGGAGAAATAGAAATTGACTACAGTGCATAAAGGATAGTGGCCGGCGTAGCGTTATGACCGGAGGATGTAAGCTGAACACCTTAGCCATCTCACAGATGAAGCAATTAGTGAGATGCTCACAGCGATAAATCACACTCATTGTGACCGGATCACCGCACAGGGCTCTAATGTGCTTTTAGTGTCGTAGCAATCAATCGCGCAAGTGCTGAACGTGTCCGATATGCTAGGACGCGTAACAGATGGAGAAACCATCGAGAGTAGACACCAATTAACAACGCAAAAGCCTGGTAGAAAATATTACTTCTAAAACTTGTCAAACGACCGACGATAGATTGCCTGCGACGAGTGAGCATCTGTGACCTAGTGCAAAACATGAACCAAACGTGGTTCAAATGGTTACATTATAGAAAACTGGACAGAAAGAATAGTTGGGTGCATAATCAAAGTCTTGTGAACAATTACTTACAGCTAGCCAGGCAAGAATAAACCAAAACCGATAATAGGGGATCAAAAGATCTACAGTCCAATCTACCATGGCGACCAGCCAAAAATATCCCCAAACTTTTATCCTATGAGTAATGTCCCTATGCATGAACCTGTCTATGACGACCATCTGTCCAAGGTGATCAGTTTTTGTCGTCCCTTGAGTGGTCCTCTTAGACACGTTTGAGTGTATTAAGAAAACCCACGAGGACCAAAGGGCAGTTGTCTTGTAGTGAGCAAAAGAGGTATAAGTAATAAGATGGAATTCAGCAGGAATGACAAGGATAAGTTTTAGCACACTTCCACCTCCCATACAATGACTCGGCAGATCGACGTAACAAGCAGGAGAGTTACTATTGACTAGACGTTGTTCGTATCGTTGCCTGACGAAGTTCATTGTGAAAACCCCATCGTTCCACAAAACTACGAACTGAATGTCTGTTACAGACCTCAAACGGTGAGTGTAGCGATTACGCAATGCCTTATCGCTGACAATTGTGTTCGCTCCTTCAAAGATACTGTCCCCAGGTCATTAACTGTGTGCTGTCCTCAGTGATAGAAATAACGGTGAAAATCAGGTCATCAGTCAAATATCTTCGCCTGTCGTTATCAAGTGACAACAGCATCACCCTGACAATCAGTTCCCAATAACGAGATTAACTGCACCCTAGGTACCGAGGAGTGTAGCTTGTGTAATGACTTGGATTAAAGGTAGTAAAAGGCGCTTCCACTGAAGATTAATGTTTTTCCCGAAATCGTGGATAATAGTGAGGGATCCGTGTTGGTTTCCGCATAGAGAGAAAGAAGCTTGGGGCGTATCCATCCGAATATGATCAGCAACTTACACGCGGTGGGAAGGGGGCAAAATCCACAAAACCTTAACGTTTCGCTCGGATTATGAGGAAGTACCAAGAAAGTAAATTACAGAGAAGTTGATAACGCAGTTGTTGATGCAAAAAGTGAGTGCCAGGGAGCTATGGAAGCGGAGCGTGATGAAATGAAACAATGGCTTTTGAAGTGAAGAAAACACCAAGTTCCAAGCACCACAAAGTAACGGAAATCTGTGGAGCAAAGAAAAAAGTATGCATTGCGGAGTGCAGATAAGTGGGAATAAAAGAGACCTTGACAAACTAACGTGAATTCCAGACAGTACAAAAGCGGCCCCATATATGGGTTAGTTAACAGATAAAAAATAAGCCAAGGGAACAAACACCCAGTAGCAGTTACCGACACCAGCGCATTCATGACAGGATGTCCAGTAGGTTTGATGCCCCCAACACTTTGGAACGAGATGCGTGTAGTTATCTGAGATAACGGTGCAAGGCCGGAAGATGGCGTTGTAAGCGTCGAAACATCTTATACACATCTATAGCTCACCGATGGAGCGATGAACAACCAGCATCCCGAAGTGTCGCATAAGTAAGAAAATCCTAAGGGTCAGTACAATAACAAACATTTCCTGATCATTTGAACAGACATGTGGACGTAAGTACAAGATGAAATGCGTCTCAGAGTAGGAATGAACAAAAATCGGGCGCGCGGTGAGGTATGAAGATAGGTTCCCCATGATTCGATAACAAATTACCACTTAACCGTTCGATTCCGATGTTGGCGGTTTCACCCGGAAAATAAACTGGTTCGCGAAGTTGACGAGAAAACTGTGCGACGCATTAAAGATGGCGACCCGGGGACCGGCAATATTCTACTCAAAGTGGATAGACTACTAGATTGAGTGAAGTAGTTGCCTGCCACTAAATAGTTTTGTGCTCAATGCGTATCAGTCACACGGCCTAAGAGGAGAGCGGATAGCCCCTTCGTACAAAATGTGTACATATGTGTACACGCGTATAAGTTTATTTTCAAATGGTGTGTACAAATGTAACATACTTTCATTTGCATAACTGACAATGAACGACCGACATCTTTCCTTTTACTATGTTAAGAAATCCAGTACATAGCTACCAGTATAAGCAATAATTTTTTGGGATCAAGATTCTTGCTTGTGTACGAATGAGATAAAGATGGACCTAAGTAAAGCAGGACAAGTAGAGTCAAGTAAACGACCACTTAGAAGGCAATATAGCCCCTCCGCTGAAGGGGGCAGGCTGTCGATCTGCCGCTGCAAACCGAGGAGAAGAACGAAATCAAGACTAGGTAGAGGAGACAGAAAACGCCGGGCTTGATGGATGAGAGATAAGAGGAATCAAGAGCATCAGAATAAATGGAACGGTGCCACGGTGTCCACAACCGTGTTCAATACGGCCTGCAACGCCAAATTCCGAGGACTCCATACAGGAACACAACATGGGCCAACTCGATCTCGAATTCCAATTGGTTTTCGCAGTCTTCTGCTAACCCAGTTGCCATTTGCTCCAGTGTATCGCCGGGTTAAATGCAGAATTGACAGATAATACGCAGTAGACGATGCGCAGAAGTATGAAGGACACGAGCCACCAAAGACAGGTGGCTCAACATTCACGTATGGACTAACGCAGCACAACTGAGTCTGTTATTCAGCGGTGAACAGATAATGTTTTCAAGGGATATTTCAACATGGATATTTGTCAAGCGATTTTCGAGGTCACCGCTGCGGTCTTCCGCGTAATCTTTGAGAAAAATTCAAGATACTGCGCAAGTGAAAATGGACGGTCCCGATTGAAAGTCTAGCTTGTAAGGCTAGCTGTAAATTATCTTGTCCGGAACTGTACAATTGTTGCTCTTTGAAACTGATCGTTTATTTAAGTGACAGTTCTACACAGTGTCCTATTATCTATTCCTATTATCCATTCCAACAAATTTATTGTTGATAATGTAAGTTTAGCTCATCCATTGTCGAGATTGAGAAATGCTGAAAATGTACCCATTTGGATTCATAAAGCTTTATTTGACTTGAATAGCAGTCCTTCAATATCTTTAACGAGCAGAGGACGTTTTTGACCCACAGCGTAACATGGGCCGAAATGTAGTTTTGTACCTCATTTCTGACGAAGCCTGTATTGCTTGCCGCACAGCAATCTCCTGGGTGACTTAATCGCCACGGGTGATATAGCTGTCAAGTCGGAGGTGCACAACGCTCTAACAACTGATCAGTGATAAAGACAGCAAATTTAATGTTCCTCCAACAACGCGCTAGTGTGTTGTACATTGGCGCAAACGACACACCCAAACACAAGGCGTTCAACGTCAGTCCATTAGGCAGTCCCTGCATGTCACCTGGGTTCGAGTTGAGAACTGTACAGCATGTGTTTCCTAAGCTGGCGAATTATCCACCACAGAAAACCCGGACAGGGCCACTCATAGTCAATTCAAACACACCGCTGAAAGGGAGGCAATAAGCTGGTCCCGAGGATTTCATGCGATAATTAATGTGGCCTTTGAAATAACTAACAACTGTGTTGGCAAAAAACAACACGACTTTCGAGAACTGTACGTTCCGGCCGCTTGATGAAGCGCTTCGTAGTACCCATAGCAGACACCAGTGCGTCGCCGAGGCTGTGTAGTCCAAGGTGGTGAGCATGCCTCAAGACGAATGAAAGGTAGTGTTAATGGGACATACTGAGCCTGGAGTGTACTGTATGTAGAGAAAAACGAGGTTAAAAGAAAAAAGTCCCATCAGGTGGTGTTAATGAAGAAAGCTCACTTCATAAGCTATCAAATCGTCCTCATCCAAGTCCAAATCGATGTGCTCCTCTGGCTGGCCAGCAGGACGTAGTCCAACACTCGGACCCAACTTGGAAAGCAAATAGAATTGGAACAGACGGATCCTATGACGAGAGACGTTCACAGTTAAAATGTGCAGAAGCTTCTTGATTTCATGAGTCCGGTTGTCTGCGGCAAGAATGGGAAGAATGGAGACGATGAAAACTGGGGGAAAGGGGGCGAAGGAAAGTATGCGTTACCGTAGAAAATGCAAAAAGAAGATTACTGGCGAAGGCAAAATCACTAGCCGAAGCTTTAACATTTTCCGAGACACCCAAGCGATGCATATCTCAACTGCAGATAGGCAAGACTGGTAGCTGGCACGGCTGTGCTAAAAAGCCAAGAATTTGAAACAGGTGCATAAATGCAGCTGATCTAGTAGCTAGAGTGTGTCCAGTTTATGTAAATCTCTCTCTGTCTAGAAATCAGTGCGTTGATGAAGCCACTGACTTTTACATTAGATAAATGCAAAAGCGTTCTGAAAGTTGGTCCGTTATGAACCCGAATAAGAATCCATGATAGAAAAACGCAGTGCAAACGCCATCGTAGCAAGGGAAGGGAAAGATTAAGATTAGTTTCTACAAATCAGTAGTCTTTTACAAAAGAGCTGGTTCGAAAACTGGAAAATAATTGTTGGAAGCGTGTTTTCATTCGCATACCCAGTGTCCGCAAAAGATCCCAGAGCTAACCGGTAACGTCACAAGGTTCTGCAACAAGAGGCAATCGGGTACGAAAGACACAGGCAATATAAATGGAGAGAAACGACCTCAATGAAAATGAGTAGGGGTAGACAGTCACCACATCGTACCTGCGATAAGGTCATCTATGGCGGTGAGAACAACGGAGTCGCTGTGTGTCTTGACCCATGCAGCGAAGTAACGATAAGGCGGTCAACAATTTAGAATAAATCAGGAGAACGTGACGGACAGAATGCGCACAACTTGTCTATTCTGGCTGGCACCAACGTGTAGGTACACGTACTTGTGTGAGTACAGGTCAAGATAATCGACCGATAGGCGCAGTATATCACTAATTAATCAGAGATCCGTCACAGCTACATTCGGTCAGGCAAACAGTACTGGACGAAGACAGCATCGGAAAGAGGCGGGGTCCTATTGGGATCGATCGACAGCGCACAACTCGCTAGAATTCTAAGGGATTCGAGACTTCGAATACCTGTTCAGGTGAAAGATGGCAAGTTGGTTCATCGCGCCGTGCGCAACAGCGACGGGCCGCCATGGCTGATTGTTGCCTGTGGTGAGGCGTCATTAAACCTACAACGTCACGCACGTTACTATCTTGCAAAAAGACAAGGTAAACCTTCAATGCTACGAATCGCTTCGCTGAGCCGTCAACGATTTTACATCGCAACCGGGTTTGTTAGAAAACAACAGTGAAATTTTGAGAGGTTGACTAGTTAATTGTGACATTTGATGCCATAAGGGTACTCAAGGTGGTTCCATTTTTCATTTCTCCGTGCAATGTAATGTAACCGGCTCCAGGTTAGAGAAAACGTAGGGCAAAAAAGTAGACCCCGAAGACGAAGGACTTTTGTAGATGGTAAAAAAATATCACTGGCGAAATACGCTACAGTATCTCTGGGCTCAGAATGAAACTGTTCAGTGCCAAATGTGTGGAGTGAACGGGAATTGTCACCAGTGGCAAAGCGTATCAAGCACAGTACGTATCCGAATACTCTAACGCTAATGGAAACACAAGCCTCAACGATGTCCATATCATAATGTTCAATGATAAGGAAAACACGGCATTCGCACCAAGTTCATCCAAATTTCCTGTGGTCAACGGCAGTGGGAGGTTGTCCGTACCAGGATAGGTGAACTCATGGCTACCGGGCTCGAACACGAGGTCAGCACTGTCACCAGCAGCCAAATCGGAACCAGAAGAAGGAATGGACTCGAACAAATCAATCCAGTTGTTGAATAAACGTTCAATCGCCTCGTGTGCGGGCTGCCCATCACCGTCTACGCTCAATGAAGCAGTGGCCAGGAACTTAAGGCACTATAACGGAGGAAAAGTGTGATCAGTGTAATGCATGAAGCTTGTTATGGTGAATAACCCACCAAGGTCAAATGCTTGGTGGAGTACAGTAAAAAGAGAAGTGTGAGATGTCACTGAGTTTGGATAGAGTTCCATGTCGGAGAAATGTCGTTATGACCAAAAATGTACGTTAACATGCTGTGCGTGACAGACTTCGAAGGAAAGGAATGAACTGCATTTTATTCGTTTAGGTGGTACTGAAAAGCCTATACTCTAGCGGGCTTAGTTATGCGCGAACCACAAGTATGCTATGCGAGGAACTAAGGTGATGTGGCTCAGTGACAGTGAAGACAATGCTCTAGTTCTAAGGAACCTGAAAACAATCAGCAACTGGACAACTTTCGCCATATACAAGTATTTCTCGTAATTTCATACGTTCACGAGGAAAAGTGGGATTGATAATTTAACTCAAAAGTCACTTGAAGAAACGGTTTAACACACAACTAGCCTGTAGGGAATGCCTGAAGCGAGACGGCCAGAGGGAAGTCAAGCGTAGGAAGCAGTTAAGAAAAATTCATGAAAGATTAAGATTCGATAGCAAGGACAGATATGTGAAGACGGTGACGTCATAGAGCTGAAGTTCCGGGGTGATAGTGTGAAGCGAAAAATGTTGTGTTGTGAAAGAACAACGTAACGAGGCGCGAAGTTAAAAGAAGGCATAAACGGTACGCAGTATCGAGGCTCGCTGCCGCGCAACCACCATTAGTTGCACGTAGGCTAAGAACACTTCGAGGGACGACCGGTCCATATGCAGGCTCGAACCCGCGGCCACAGATTACAAGGCAAGCTTGTAGTACTGTGTGGTGGGCAAGAAACCTCGACGACGATTGGCTAATACGCGGGAGTTTCCCTTTGGGAGTGAGTGAACAATTGAACGTAAGGGCCGTGTATGAACACGACGGCGACAAGGTCCTGGTAGACAGTATGTCAGATGACTTGTTTGAGAAGCGTACATTGTGGGCCATGGAGTGCAATCGTCTATTTGTACTGGTCCCACTTTAATTGATATGTACCTAGAGTGTTGGACGGGTAGCCTTTTGATATGCTTCGTGTAAAAGTGACAATACCGGTTGAAGACAATAGCAAGGTGGCAGTGGACCAAAGCACTTACCCTGCTTGTATGTAGGGACCCATGACTTCTATATGCGCAGACACTCAACCACTGCAAGTTGGGGCATCGCCGCTTAGTGAGCAAGAACCCGGTGAAAAAGGCGTCCAAAGTACCTTGCAAGTCGCATCGACGCTTCGCTGACAGGAGACCACCATCGGTCTCGCGTGGGCAACGGATACCGGAGAGGTCACCCGTAACCACGCAGTTTCGAACCAGTGACTGGTGGATTACAAGCACATGCTTAAACCACATGACCGCTGGCAAGCGGTAGCGAAAACCTTGAGAGTTGCATATTTAGGTCTTCCTCTGTGTTGCTCCCTTTATTTGTCATCGCATTTTAACAAGGAACAAACATAACTTAATTCCAATATACACATATGTGCAAACCCTAATGACAATGGCGGAATCAGTGCTGGTTAACGCGCCGATCATTAGGGTCTGTGAAAATAGTACATGCATCCAACTATCTATCCAAACAATCTCACTGGGAGCAAGGACCGCCACCCGTAGAGGAGCAGGCAGCTGCACGATCAACATACTAGCTTCTGAAAACTGCCAGCTTGTCAAACTATAGTTGAAAATGATTAAAACCAAGCTTAGTAGGCAACCTCCGCAAGCGTGAGAAATGAGCGGACGAGTTTGAAATTTTTATCGGTTGCGTAAAATCGCCCCCAAAATCGCATGAGATATCGATCTCGGAATCTGAGTAAGAAAGTCAACGAGTGCAACCCATATACCACGGACGGTGGCGAAAGTAAGCGCGACGAAGTTGCTAGGCACGATACAGTGAGACGCGTTCCCTTTCGCCATACATATTGCGAGTGTGTACAGGTCATCGTTAAGACGTTTGAAAGAAAAAGATCATGCGCTGGTCCGCAGATCAGCTCAAGAGCATCGAAAGCCAGAAAGTAAGGTAGGGCACAGAAGTCCGAAAGAATGACACCACCTACATGTGATAAAAACTAGTCTAACAACGCTAAAGGGAACTGCACTCATAATGTTAAATGAAACTCCCTGGTCTTCAACCAGTATTGCTTGCGAAGCATAGCTAGTGTCGGCTGGGATCAGCGGGTCCGCAACAATGATTTACGCAGGCGAATACTAGTTCCTTAGAACAACAAATAACTAGGAAGAAATTGTGTTGGCTTGCACACGTACTACGTATGCACGGTAACCGGTTATCGATGAGACCCTTGTTTTGTTTGAGCAAGTCCCGAGGTGAGCAAAAATTAAACTGGCGGCGGGAAATGAAGTAACTGAGAACACGCCTTCTAGGTCGGAGTCTACATGACCCGCCTTGTGTTTGGCTCGTAGTCTGCAGCAGTGGCGCGTCTGCTGTCGTCTAGTAAGACTGCCTGTTTAAGGTGTGTCCGGTGCTGAGTTATCTGTGGAGTAATGGCTGATTATGATGCAGTGAACGCCACAAGGAAGTTATCTCGTCGATGCCGTCTTATCTTTGCACGGTAGCCAGCTGCTTGGAACGGTATGTTGTTGACATGGCGTAGGCGCCTTGACCCTGAATGTCTGTTTAGGGCATTAAGGTTATATGCTAGGTCCTCCTTATGAGTATTCGTTTCGTAGATCGCTGTGATTGTACGGCAGCGAAACATTAAACCAAGAGGCTGATGCACTGTTGCTGTGTGAAGCTAGAAGAACATCATGGAGGATGGACAAGTGCATATGTGGTACCAATAGGGTAAGAAAAATCGAGGTGAGCAAAGCGAACGGCCTGTTGTCATAAGATGGTGTACCCCTCTATCACCCAGTTGATAACAAACTTAAGGTGCTTTAGTAGCTCAAATATGAACTTCAAAGCGTTGGTGTGATCTTTCCTGAAATATGTGCACTAGGGATCAGCCGTACGAGAACACAAATGTTGTAAGCTGACGTGCTGCGTTACTTGTCTTTTAAGCCCAAGGCCACCGTCAACGTTTTGGAAACGAGAAACACCGTTTAACTAAAACGGGACAACATCACTATTCATTCAAGTCAGATAAAGTGTCAAAAACACATCAGTACGAATGCTTCGTCACCATGTAAATGCGGGCCTGGATGCTGCAAAGGCGTCCAAATCTAGATAGAAACAGTGACTAGAACCTGGAGTAAGGGAGTTGCAAAACAGATGAATGAGTCACTACACAAGCCACTTATGCAAAAGGTTTACTGTACGATGTCGCAGAATACGATGATGGGAAAGTGGAGGTAAACCGGCGGGAAGTGAAAATGGGGTTAACGTTCCCCTGTAATCTGCGCAACATGAACCCCCACTGGCAATATGAAGTAATGGAGGATACCATGTTATTTGGCGTGGCGTATTTGCACAAAAAGCTAGCACCAAAGTTAGTTAGTCCCTCTGCGTTTTTTTATGTATTCCAATGGTGTACGAAGTTGCGTTTGGTCCAGGTCACTTGAATGCTTTGTAAATGTTCTTATCCTCAAATGTTATGGAGAGTGAAAATGTAAGTCTGTTAAACGGGCCGCCCCACATTTAATCAATTAACTGTGACGACTAACAGTGTCCTCCCTGTTTGAGGAGGCTGCCACACTGTAATGAGATCCGATTACGATGGTCTGGAATCCGTGCGCACACCAACTACAAAAATGATGCATCATCCAACGCGTAGTGTCAGAAAGCAACATAAACGCATTTTACGTGAATCCAGTAAGAACGCTACGGTGATTGGCCCATCGCCGTAAAATCCACAGACTGCCAGAAGTCTCTGTAGGAACTCTCTCGAGTGCGGAGTATGGTTTAACTCGCTGATATGCTGATATGGCTAGGAGCCGGCCCCAATGGTGTTTGTGTTGTGAGTTCCTTTGTCCATTCCCCTCTTGCTTAACCTCCCCTCCGAACATGATCTCATTTGTTAGGCATAATATAACTCTTTGCGGCACAATGGCCGGCTGTTAGCTCTCCGGAAGGATGTCCATCAGTTACTGGGGAATCAGCCGGTGTGCCACCGTTGTTTTTTCTTGTCTTTTGTACTGCGGCACAATAGCTGAGATGTTTTCCACCTGCAGCTAACGTGTATAATGATGATGAAGCAATCCACAGAGACTGTGAGAATATTCAGTGGGAAATCTAACCGTTCGGAATGGCCCATAGGCGATGGTCCCTTGAGTTCCCAAATAAAAAGTAAGAATCTAGCCGATTAATAGAAACACATAAAAAGCCAAGAGGCGTAAGGTAGATAAGAAAATAAAAGCAGTAGTCCTGCCTGTTGGCCTAGTAATCGATATGGCAACCGGGTGTATGGATACCAAAGTTATTGTGCCGCTACATAACATGAGAATACACAGGGTAAATATGGATGGGATTTAAAAAGAAGGGGAAGTTATTACTAAACATCAACTATGAGACCAATGAGACGAGGAGGCGAGAGATGTGGGGAAAACTGATTACAATCTACACACCATACAGGTGGACCAGAAGAAACTCGAAGTTGAAACGCTGCCCACGCCTCACCTCTATGTGCCGCCAACTCAACCGGAAAAAAAAACAACAAAAGACCGATACCCGCCAGATCGAAGGGTATTAGGAACAGAACACAGTTAATCTGAAAGGTCACGTGCCATCACCTCCGGGTGTGCGTTTTTGGGCTGACTTAAGTCAATTGTCCGAACAGATTAAAACCTGCTAGCGGGCTCCAGTGGCCAGCTGTAGTCGGGCACACGCCGGTCGCGTAGCAACTGCTGTCATAATGACGAGCTGATTTCATAAGCCTTCCGCGTGACTTGTCACAGGCCCACTTCACGTCCCGAAAACGTCGCCGGCACCTAATACTTATGGGTCCAAAAAATGCTATCTACATATTGAAAGCCAAGGTTAAAATGACGAGAGTTTTGTAGGTGAATAAAACAGCGATTGTGACCAAACCGTCATCTAGCACACACTGTCAATAAGATGGTGACAGTGTTCCGTCGTTCCTCTGATGGTAATCCCAGTAAAAGGATGAACGGCTGTGAAGGAAACGACCAGAGTACAAAACAAACGACCACGGCTATAGCGAGAGTACGACAGTTAAAAGAGATAATCAAGTGCCTCCGGATCGGTGCATTACAGTGCACATTTTAGTTTTAACGCCACAGCGCAAAAATACACCTGCCCAGATAGTTAGAGATCTATATATTATGACGAACACACCTTGAACAAGATCATCATCAATGCACGTTAGCTGTAGGTAATAAACACACTTCAGCTAGTGTGCCGAAATACAGACAAAATGAAAAGAGACAGAATACTACAGAATAAAACGTAATACGATACTTAGTGTCATATTAAGCATAACGTGTGAGAAAGTAGTTAGAGGATAAAGATAAGCGGGAGGGGGAAGGAAAAGGAAACTTAGACCACAGACGCCATTGGGGCCGGCTCTTCGCCATGTCAACAAGCGCATCCAAACAAACGTGTTCATTGTCCTTCGGACCTAATCCCGGCGGTCGGGAGACACCGATGCCAAGTTCGAAGTGAGGGACTGCATATGCCTTGATCAAGTCATCGCTTAGCCTCCCTTACTATGTTTCCATCCACCCCCCAGTTGCGCAAATAAGGCACGCCGAGAGGGTCAGTGTGCCGGCATGCGCAACACGTAGCCCAGCGATCGGAGCATGGTTCTGAGCGCTCTTCCTGCACAAAATACCCGACGCCGATCACGCCCATTGTTCAGAGGATGCTTCCGTCAGACATGAGCTAAGCTGCGAAGGCAGCGATGATCAAACCTAACAAGCTTCCTTATATCTGTCGACCAGATGGGCCAGGTTTCGCATCCGTAAGGATGGCTACATTGTGAACTCGGCCCTTCAGGGTGAGTTATGGCGCGTCAGCGCCACAGGTGAAGATTGGCAAAAGCGCATCGAACTTCTGTCCTGACCGAGAACTGGCAGAGAACATCATCAATCCCCGATGATGAAGAGCAAAGGCTCAAATGAATGCAGCAAAGAAGCTAAGGATTTTAGATAGACCTTGGAAGTCACATACGACATGAAGAACTGTGTTGTCAGGGTGAATAACGCAGTTATCAAAACGTATTACTAACTATACCGTATCGCGTTCATCCCATGAGTCAACCAAAATCCGAACCACTGACTCAAAAATCCCCCAATGAGTGACTCACAGAAGAACTGTGAATACAATGGAGCGGTGAACTGGTAAATCTTGGTGTAAGAAACGGAGTCGTATAGCGAAGCGATTCCCAAGTAGGCCGCAAAAAAGCCAAACTACGAACTTGATGACCAAAGAGCGATTGGAAGGATGGAGTTAAAAGGTAAGAGAAACAACGATAAATCGTGTCTCACCTGAATTATCAGCGTACACATACGGACAAAAAATCGATCAATCACGACCAAAGAGAGCATAGCATGTTGATACACGGACTGTGTGTCACAGGCTGAATCCCATTCAGCAGCGGACGAGGATGGAAGTGACAGACACGTTGCGACAGGTTCCCATGCTCGTGGGGATCGTATCACAATATCTTGCATCAATTCAGAGAAGATTGGGAGTTCGTACGGCATCAACTGGTGTAGTGCCAAACGAGGTACGCAGGCAGGATCCACTAGTCGTTTCTGACATTCCTCGTTCACGATCCGTTGGTGATCGGGTGGGAATGCGCGAAGCACAGCGGAAGTGTTTGACACCTCATCGGCACCATCATCCAGCCAGTAAGTTAAATAGTCCATGCAGGTGAGAATATGCAGGCGACAAGCAGTGGATGAGACTGGACCGTGCCCGTCCATGGAGGATGCGCCACTGGAGCCGGGATCATCACTGGGCACAGACAGTGGGGTTACGGGCTCAGTCAAGGGTCCAGTCATGGCTGTAAGTCGGGTGAGAAACGAAAGAGTGCGTGTGCCCAACATGTCTGACTGGCGGACCAGGGTGTGCAGCTGAAAAGAGAATATGGTGAGCGATGAGTATGAATTTGAAGCTAGGAATTCACTGTGTGAATAGAGCTCGCAACAGAGTGCTTCGCGAAATGAGCGAGGACCCAGAGGGAAACCGAGGTAAACATGTGGGAAATTCGCCAGAGCAGAAACATATAAGAGTCACAAGAACCATATGTTCATCGTCAGCAATCATCATCATCAATACTCGTTAGTTGAGGGTGAGCTAATGCGTTGCAATACAAAAAAGATATCGAAAATTACAGACTACAAAGAGTGCTTAAAGCAAACAAGATAATGTCAAATGTCAAATTATGCATTTGGTAGATCGTAAATAGAGGAGGAATCTAAATGGGAGAGGATGGACAGTGCCTCAAAATACGAAAGGCAGTGAAGCAGGTATTTCGTCATAATAGCAAGTGTGTCTAAGCAAATATGTTCAACGACCTTCGGACACCAGCCCTGCAGTCGGGAGGCCCCAACTGATGTCAACTTCGAAGTGAGGGTTTTCATTCCTCTCGACCAAGTCATCACTTGGCCTCCCCTCCTTCCTTTCCTTTCAGACCCCGGTTGCGCAAATAATGCAAGACGCGAGACCAGGTGTGCTGGCATGTGAAACACGTAGCTCAGCCATAGGAGCGTGATGCATGATTTAGTGGTGCTGAGCGGTTCACTCGCTTTTCTCACGCCCATCACGCTCATGGCTTACGCGGTGTTAACGCCAGATGTGAGCTAAACCGCGTAGCCACCGGTCATCAAACGTAACTACTCTCTCTATATCTGTCGACCTGATGGCCCAGGTTCCACATCCGTACAAGAGGGCTGAAGGTGTGGCTGTCTTGTAAACTGTACCATTCAGAGCGAGAGTCATGTCGCGTCAGCGCCACAGATGGTGAAGAGTGGCAAAAGTATCTCAAGCCTTTGTTACACGGTTCGTAATCTCATCTTCAATCCCACGGGCGCTAATATAGCTGCCCAGGTACTTGAATTCCTGAACGACTTCCAATTGATCACCACCAATGGTCTGTGCAGGGATGGGTCCTTGCCAATGTTGGAGGACTTTACATTTCGAGGGAGCAAAGCATAGCCCAAAACAATTGACAGCCAGTGCTAATCTGTCCAGTGCGGTTTGGCACATTTGGGAGGTGTGAGAGATTAGGGCAATGTCGTCAGCATACTAAAAGTCAAGAAATTTCTCACCAGGAAACAGCTGCAAATCTTGTACATCGGGCCTCACGAACGCTATTTCCATGATTTTCGCAATGGCGGACTTAAAAATGAAAGATGTCAGCGGACGACCATTTCTTACACCGCTGTAGATATTGAAGGGCAGCGACAGTTCGACTTAAACCTTCACTCTGCTGAACAACGCGCGTACAGCACTGTGATGTAAATGTAGTTCCTTTCCTGAGCAAACAGTCTTAAAAGGCACATCGATCCACCGAAGCGTAGGCACTCTGATGTCGAGAAACACGACTACGTCGAATCGCCACTGAATGTGGCGGTGCTCCAACAAGTGACGCAAAGTAACGATGTGGTCGATGCAGCCCCGATCACGACGAAACCCGGCCTGCTCCTGGAGAAGCCGACCTTCACGAGTGTCACTCAGTCTGTGGAGAACAACAAACGCGGGCAATTCGGAGACAATTTAGATCAGACTGATTCCACTATTATTGCAGCATTCCGACCGGGAGCCTCTCTTGAAAACTGGGACTACGTCAGTTCCAGTCTGTTGGGATAATCTTCTGCTCCTACAGATGCAACTAGTATATTGTGTAAATTATCTACAAGAGCAGATCCCCCGAAATTCGAAGAGGGCTGGGGACGTGTAACTGCCAATATGGCCTTATTCATTTGCAACAGTCTGATTTCAGGTTCGACTTATGCGCGTGATGGCAGATCCACGGAGACGGCCTAGAGAGAAGAGCAATCAGTGGCTGAAAAAGTAATAATACAGGATGGTTAAACTTTTTTGCAAAGTGTTTGGTACAACGCTCCAAGTATTTTGACAAGTTGTGGATCGGCTGTCCACTGTTGTCGCGTATGGTCTCGCTAACAACATGTCTCCTGTTGCCAATGCCCCGGGAAGGGAAAGATCCCATTGGAAACAACGGTAAAGCAGGTATACGATTGTTCGCATGCTAAAGAAGAAATGTCCTACAATCGGGGGCGGGCACACAGTGTCGTGAAGCCTTGGAGCGTACGGTAAGAGGCATGTAGTCGGCCGCTGCAAACAAAGATTAGTTAACAGAAATGAACTATGATTGATGGGGAAGATATTACGTATGGACTAAACAACACCACAGAGAACGGCGTAATTAACAAACTGCAGGCAGACGAATTTAAGAAGTGATCCAGTAAAAGAGTTGGGATAATTCGGGTGCAGCGGAGCGTAGATCAAACTTAGCGCGGTATCGCAAACTCAGGACAAAAACCCACATCAGATAGCTTTGGTCTGCTGTGATGTAAATTGGTCCCTAACTAGTTGGTGGTTACTTTGGAAGCCTCTAATGTCAGTAGATTGTGACACCGATTCTCAATATGGACGAAAACATACTAGATAAAGTGAAGCTAGGTCAATCGGTCACTGGGACCGTAGTTGAAACAAACAAATGTCAGGTGATGCCCGTTCGCAGCAATGAACTCCGCAAGTGGTCCTCGTACTTATCTTCAGTCGCCAGCTAGATAGCAGAACTGCAACTGAACTCAGAGGTACAGAAACTACTAGCCGAGGATCAGTGAGTCGCAACAGGCAATGGCCTACAAAGACGGCTTATGACTCAATGTTGAGTTATTTTGAAACATCCATGTGTAAGTGGAATGCGTTGCGAATCTCAATTTGCGCCACAAACAAACACTTCCAGCAATGATAAGGTAATTCAATCAACTGTAGTAAATTGAAAGGCTAAAAACAAGAGCCAGGGAGAAATATCAGTTAACGCGATATAACCAGCAAGTGGGAAAATGTAAAAAAAATCGTGCCCACAACAGGTCTTTCAGCATGGCAAAAGAAAAAAGAAAGGCATCAGTAGTACGTAGGTACGCAGTACCGACGCTTCGTTGCCGCGCAACCACCACCGCTCGCACGTGAGCTAACGATGCCGTGAGGATCACCCTGTACCTACGCAGGCTCGAACCCGCGCCGTCAGATTACAAGACAAGCTCGTTACCTTTAGGTTACGGGCAGCGGCAAGAAGCACTGGTCAGTCTGGTTGGAAGAGGAGGGAAGGCAAAGCGATGACTAGGTCAAGAGGAATGAAAACCCTCACTTCGAAGTCAGCCTCGGTTGGTGCCTCCCGAATGCCGGGCTGGGGTCCCAAAGACGATCAACATATTTGGCTGGATACAGTTGCTGACATGGGGAAGAACCGACCTCAATAGGGTTTGTGTTGTGAGTTTCTTTGCTCCTCCCCTTCTAGCTTCGCTTCCCTCTCTAATCACGATCTCACATTCTATGCAGGATATGGCACCTAGAATAACAATAGTTGCTTTGCTTTAGTTTTTACATTCTGTAATCTTCAGTAGCTTATATTTCATATCGGGGCGCAATAGCTGAGGTGTGTTCCTCACCCTCAGGTAACGTTTGTGATGCTGGCTGGTCGGATACGCTTACTGCTGTCGATGCTTGGTCGGTCCAGCTAAACGTATCGCTCCATTCTTTCCCATCCATAATCCGCAGGTAATAGGACTATGGTAATCCCTAGATTCATCGGATGATTATAATCCTCAACAATCACATCCGCCGAGCTGCCTGGTAAACCGAGGTGTGAGTCGCGGATCAAATAGCATTCCTTCTGTCGGAAAGGTACCACACGAAGGAAAATGAGGTTCTAAACGAACCTTAGAGGCCATTTGCAGCATAGTACCAAAACACATTCGGTACTCGCGTGAGTTGCGTTGGAACGACGGCAGTGATAGTAGACGATAGCTAAGACTCGGATGAAAGTAAGACGGCATTTATATTCCTTCTACTATGAGGATAATAAATCCTCTTACATGGTATCTGTGTGGGTTTAAACCCATCCGTCATCAGCTGTTGGGTTGTCAAGTCGACCTGATTTGCCATTTCCAAAAGCAAGGAAGCAACTCTAAATACCAGTTTGATACTCGCCGGAAAAAAGACAGGAAATAAGTGGTGCTTATCGGTTTCGCGTGAGCGAAAATATTTTTTTTCATACTGAGCAGTATCAGAACCCATGCAGAACGACAGACTAATTGGACAATGGGCTAATCAGTAGCATTTCAAGAGAACGGTTGAGTTTTCTGAGACAAAGATCACAAACGAATGATTAGATGGTCCTCTTAACCCTTCCTGTCGCCTCGAATGATAACTAGAAAATCGATGGCAGGGAAGGTGGCTGATATTTCTAGTGGCCAAGCAGGGTAACAAAATACCATTTAAAATCCGTTGCGTCTATTAAAACAGGTTAAAAGACGTACCAGACACAGTAGTCGTATACGAAAACTTGCGAATCATTGTGACTGACAGATGAATGGGCCTATGAGGACACCGTAAACGGTTTGCGGCGTTTCGCACGGCGCTGTCTACATAGCATACATGCACTGTGAACTCGAGGGAAGAAAGTGACGACTTGCGAGGAGACATACATATTTCGTGAGAATTCACCTCGAGCAACAGCGATATATTTCCTGTAAAACTAATTATTTTGGTGAGAAAATGATTTGAACGAACAGTATGTAGCCGAAGTAGCAAGCCGTCACAAAAACATCTAAGTATGTCACGTGAGGTGCATACGTACCTCCTCATCCGTCGGGAGAAAGTGAACTGCAAATTCCTGGGAGCTGACCTAGTCGTTTTAGAACCTGAACATTTCTGGATTGACATATATCCGTTGATTTCCATACTACTTATACCCATTACGGTAGCTCATACTGCAACACTCTTTCGCCTTGAGAGGTTGTTTTCTAGTTTCAGCTGGGATTGAGAGCATGAAGAGAACGAGATCAATGCAACTGGAACTGCAAAGGGGAAGATTCGACAGGTAGCAGTTGAGGCTCGAATGTACACTATGGAGAACCGCAATATAGCGCTAAATCCAGCGCTGTAAGAAATACTGAGCGTCCCACCACAACCCACTTGGAAAAAGCAATCCCAGTAGCGGCAGCGAGCGGAGCTGTACCTTACTAAACTTTGTGATAAATGGGGCCGAACCTGATGTATCAAACGGCACCAGACGTCAAGTATGCGACAGATCACTCCGTAATCCAGCAGTGATGAGACGCCACACCGGCCTCAGCGTTGATAGATAGCGATCATCCGCAGAACGACAAATCAGACCAAACAGAAGTATTTAAAGTCAATCCGGTGGAAAAATCATGTCACAATGTGATGCGCCCGCCGAGGTGACAGTGTCGAGAATCGGTGATAGGAGGATGTACGATCGAAGAATTTGAGAAACAGCGTTGCAAGCTAGTGATAGATGGTGTTAACAAGTAAACCGCAAGAGAGTTAAATCGTGTGAGAAGCAATAACGCGATGTGTACGAAAACCAGTGCTAGGCGTGATAAAGAGCAGCGAAGTTATATTTACCTTGATTAATAATAACAGCGTGTTGGACATAGCCTCGGGCCCGAATATTGGGGACCATTTCAAGCTGGGTCGGAAACACATTTCGCGGTTGGCACGTCGTAATCGAGAGGTGTAAAAACCAACGACTGTAATAGAAGGAAAATGGAAGATGACTTTAGGCATGTGCGCAGCTTACAAGTGTAAACACTTGTAGGGATATTATTTTAATTTTTATAGACACACATTTCATGTTCGATCAATGATAAAGTGCTGAATGTCAAACTAAGGAATATTCCCACGTCGCACTGAATGAACGGTACCCACAAGCAGTCGCGCAGAGAGCGACAAGAAAACATCAGTGGGGACAATGGTCAAGTATTACGATCGAATGACCAGTGAGACAGCCGTAAGCCAATAACTGAGGAGACCATTCTGCAAAGATGTGAGTAACATCGCTGGGAAATAAGGCTTTGAACTATTTCAAATTATTATTGACATTGTGTCTGTGTTAATAACTACATGGCTATGGCTGAAGAAAGTAGTTGAAGTTGCCGAGTCAACTCATGACTTGCATAATCCGATGTCCTTAGTAGGGTTCTTGAAGCGAAGTTACTGCGTCAGATTTATCGAAACAAGACACAACATATCACGTGTGAAAGGATTTCACCGAACAGTAAAAGAGGTAAGCTTGTGTTCGTAATTAATGTTTCCGGCAATCCTTACCTCATGCGTTTATGAAAGGTGCGCAAGAGTGACAGACATCGAGGGGTTTGAGGTAGCAAGGTGCTTTTTTTCAAAGGGTCAACTAGTACAAGAAAAGGGAACAGTACCATCCGAGGTCGTTGTGAACTGATGGCGCCTAGAAGCAAATTCGTAAACGTTTGCTGCGATATTATCTAAAACAGGATGGAACGAGGAATGAACACATAACGCCGAACGGTTGCGCTTATCACAAAAGGAGGAATATCCAAATTAGCGTTTGGAATTTGTTCGAAATCTACCAGTACAAAAAGATACTATGTGCATGGCGACGGGATGGTGTTTTTCAATATTTCCGTCGAACGGAAAACTTTAGTTCGAGTACTTCGCCCCAAAAATACGAGAGCTGCCTGGACAGGAAACAAGCTAGCAGACAAATGCAATTCCTAACACGCCCCAATGACATCACGAAGCGACATCTAACGATAGCACTTCAAAGGAGAGCGATGGTTATTGATCTATCATTCAAAAATGAGCATATGAAAACCATCGCGAAAATTGTATGAGTCATACTGGGAAAAGCGTATAATTCGGGTGAAATGTGGCTGAGCATGTCAATGACGTGCTTGAATATGGGTTCGGCGAATATCAGAGGAGAAAAGTGCGCGTCCGACTGTCTATGCTATTGCAGTGACATGCATTAACTCGAGTTTAGGGGTTGGAAGTGACCAGTAAATGCCCAAGTGCCCACCCGAACAGGTGGCAACATTGATGACAGAAGAGCGAATCAAAACGCCGGAAGAGCGCAGTAAGCACGTAGTACTCACTGGACACAAGTCAACCGACCAACTTGATGCATCGTTCACTGTTCTCACACATAGTCGAAAGCACCACACTTTTAAGTTACCCAATGCCATTGCCGCTGACTGTAGCGATCGCTGTTCTGTAGGCACAGAAACAGCAGGCAGAGACCGCAAGTCTATCGCGACATTACATAGTGTGTTAAATAGCCACCAAGTGACCTTGTACTGGGTTATTTTTGATTACGTGTGTGTGCGAACGATAAGAAGAAAAAACACAAAATGAATGAGCCACTGCACAAATTATGTTTTATGACACAATCTCGAACGCATAAACGGAAACCCTCGCTTCAAAGAGCACTTAGTTCGGCCGTAAGCTGATAAGTGGTACAGTAGGTCTAGCGCAAGAAAGTGAAATACGTTAAGGCCTAAAGTTGCCATTTAAAAAACGCACTCCATTTGCCGAATGTTGGCGCAGAATCATTTAGTCTTTTGTTTAAGTGTAACGAAATGCGGAAATAGTTGACCACCTTTTTAGGGATACCGCTGCACCGAAAAAACTGCCTCCAGGATGAAGCAAAAACCTTAAACCACATGATCATTAGGTTCGGAAAACCCAGTATGCCTAAAGTCAGGGAGCACATTTGGTGACGGATGAAGAAGGAATAAAAATTGGGGAGTGCACACCGCTAGTGAGCGCAGAACGTCGCATGTCGCAACTACAGTGTTTGAAGGACTGAAGGAATACAGACACTCATTATACAAATGTAAATAGAAAAAGGACCAATTCATTTTGAGACAGAAAAAGTGCTAGAAAAACAAGTGGCTACAGTCAGCAGTGAAATGTGTTTATCCGCCGTCGGATTACCTACAACGCTAACTGATCGCATGAAATGGTTGTTGCCCTCCAGATGACAAGCAGCTGGAAACTGTCGGCCCCAAATCGATCAATGATAGCGACGGTCATCAATAAATATGACAGCATCCGGACAAAACCGACGGAACTGTACCTACTATACACCCTGCCTGTTTAGAGCGATCTCTGGCATTAAGATGGGATATAGCGGATGGCAATATGGCATTGAGTGTCATCAAAGTCATGATAACTGCTTGCTAATGGTGTGCAATGTCACACGAACTTCGAGGTGAACTGACCGCGAAGGGTGGGGTGGTGCATCGAAAGGCTGAGTTGCGAAAGGAAGCTGTGTGGGCCAGTCACATTTATAGTGGAGGCAACGTATGTAGGGGTAAGTAGAATCTTTTCGCCGTACCTATCGCAACCAGCTAAATGCATGTATATTTGAAGTATTCTTGTCCAAAACCACTAGCGTTTACCACTGACTGAGCGTGGAAGTTCGGCGTATGGACAGCCGCCCAAGTGAACCGAACGACGCTGATAACAGTGGAACGCAGAATCAGTATAACAATTTGCTCCCGATGGACCAATGGAGAAGCAAGTGGCACTCTATGGAAGAAGCAAGCATGACACCAGAAATTCGAACTGATGCTTCGCTGCCACGTGATCACCAGTGGCTGCATGTGGGTTGGGATACTGTGAAGTCATCCGCAGCTACACAATTGAACCATGAGAACTTGTGGTTTAGAGAGTAAAAGCGTGAACCACACCGTTACCGGCCGGACAATCTGTGGAGTGGTCATGCATTAGCATCTCAACCCTTGCCTATTCGTCAGATGTACGTTTTCAATGGATAACACAAGTTTACACGCATTTCATAAACAACCACAAGACGTATGCAAATACAATTCTCAATGAGTAGATTTCGAATGAAATTTTACTGGTTGCACTATATGCCAGTTAGCTTTCAAGTAATGACGGTCCGTCACCGCCCCCATGGCTCAGTGGAATGAGCTGCTGGCTGGTTGGCGCAAGCTGCAAGCGATCATGGATTCGGTTCCCTGTAGGGAACGAAGAAATGAATTATCATCATCAATACTTGTAAGATGAAAATGAGAAACACACTTAGATAGTGTGCCGCAATACAAAAAGGATAAGACATAAGAAAATAAGGCACAAAGCGCTACAGCATACAATATAAAAGCAAGAAAGTAATATGATAACTAGTGGTACTTTATGCAGGGGGAAGATATAAAAAAACTCACGACAGAGACCCCATCGGGGTCTGCTCCTCGCCATGTCGACAAGTGTATCCAACCTAAAGTGTTCATCACCCTTCGGATCCCAGCCCGGCAGTCGAGAGGCAGCAACCGACGTCAACATCGAAGTGAGGGTTTCCATTCCTCTAGCCCAAGTCATCGCTTTGCCTCTTCTCCTCATCTTCCATCCATACCCTAGTTGCGCAAATAACGCACGACGGGGAAACAGGTGTGCTGGCATGCGCAACACGTGGCCCAGCCATCGGAGCCTGGTGCGTGATATAATAATGCTGAGCGGTTCGCTTCTACTTGCTGCACCATAAACAAGACGTCGAACACGCTCACTGTTCACGTGGTGTTGCCACCAGATATGAGTTAAGCTGCGAAGGCAGCGATGATCGAAGGTAGCTAGCCTCCTTAAGTCTGTCGACCTGATGGGCTAGGTTTTACATCCATATAAGAGGGCTGAACGGACGGCCGCATTGTAAACCCTGTCCATCAAGGCCAGAATGATATCATGCCGACGCTACAGATGCCGGGGATTGGCAAAAGCGCCTCAAGTATTTGCTATACGGTTCGTCACCTCACCTTCTATTCCACGGGCGCTAATATAGCTGCGCAGATACTTGAATTTTGGAAGGATTCTAAATGATCCCCACCAAGGGTCAGCGCAGGGGTGGATCCCTGAAAATGCGCACCATCGACGAGCCCCAATAGAGCGAAACAGTCGTCTGGTGCTTTTTCAGGTTGGCGGTTCGACTATGTAGCTTATGAGTAGCTGAGACGAACTAATAAAATTGAAGCAGATGGAAAACGGTGTACAACCACGACGCGTTTCGATGACATTTCATCTCATTAGGTGGAGATAGCAAGCCTAGAATCCGCGACCGATTAAGTTCCGTTATATTTCAGGTCAGTCCGGTTAGAACACTAGGTCGCTTCCGGTTAGCAAGCCCAAGGTCCGGCAGTTCCCGGTTCGAAGCTAAGGCTCGCTGACGATGTCCACCAAAGATATAATTATTGACATAGTTCTATGTTTAATTCGAATTGCACAAAATTAGCGCCAATTGTCCTTTGCCCGCTTGCCCTAGTCATTGGAGAACGGACTTTGCAATCACAAAGTAAAACAATGAGAAAATGAGACGAGGTTAAAGTTTCTGTTACGTGCATACAACCCAATAAAGCTCCACACCACTACAAGCAGCCTCCTCACCACAGTATATGTTGTAATGGTGACTGTCCTAGTCATGAAATAAGCAAAATTAACTGACAATGACATGAAACCCGGAATGGAGATACCGCGCATATGGATAATAAGCGCCAGAAAGAGACAAAATGGGATATATACGCACTTACGTTCTCTGGGCAAGAAATCCCATGACCCGATACAGTCTAGACAGCTGACCAGTCGAAAAATGAGTTCGTTTTGTTCCAGTTGTGAACTCGTAAGTTGCGCATTAGACCAACGGCGTATCACCCAGTCGATTACACAGAGAAGCAGATGGAAAAGCCGAACGAGTTCGAAATCCTACAAAAAGCGATAAAAGCGGGGAAGAAAATGAAGGACACTATGGGGAAGGGAAATGAGTCTAACACCCCAGTATAAACTGAGTAATTGTTTTTCTACATAACAATAAATAGGATTAAAAGACTGACTATGAGAATGCACAGAACGAGGAAAAATGATCTCAAGACAGGCGCATTCAAAAGATAGGACTGACTTGAATAAAGATGACGATTTTAAATGCACAAATCGGTGGTGGTGGTAATGGTGGTATGTTAGTCACAAGCAAGCAAGGTAACGGTGGCAATCACTGGCATCACCACCATCAGTTGTGAGGCTGATCATAAGACATTCACTGTTACTTCAAAGCTAATTGAGAGTTCCGAACAATGACAGAAAATAGCTGGGGATCATAATGAGGGTGACTTCACTATATCTCCACTGTGCACCATCTTCTGAAGTAATCCAGTTTTCACTGGCGAGCGACTATACCTGTGTCCATTGAGTAAGTGTTCTATTCGGTGAATTGTAGTGTCGAGCTGCATGACTGTACTTGAAGTAATACCACAACAAGGAAAGTTGTCATGCGTGCTCGACACCACTACAACCCAAGCAAGCGTCAAAGTTGTAAGGACGGGTAACCTCTGGCTAACAAGTTGCTTACCACCACTACCAACGCGCATCGATATTGGCAAATTCCATGTAACAAACAGAATAAAGAGAATGGCAATCTGGATAACGAAAATGGAGAGTTATCACAGACATACCTGTGTTGCCCAATCGTAGGCAGATAGGGAAAGCGCGCGGAATCACGCCACAGATTGCTACACATTTGCAGCAGATTACAGCTGCGCTGTGTGCTATTCGGGTGTGATGCGCTCCCTGAATCTGAAATCCGCAAAGTCGGTATCTAGGAATTTTTTAAATTCCGACACCGATTTCGTCCCGATTATTTTATCGAAGCATAGAGGTTAAGCTAGACGTTTTAGATCCGGCACCACGAGGTTGTACCGATGTCCGCGAGTGCTGCTTGGTGTGCGCACGTTTAACAGTGACCTCAGTGTGGGGAAGTGACTTGGAATCAATATGTGGTGCGTCATTATGAGGTCAACTCGAAGATGACGATAAGACAGGGTGGATAGCTCTAGTCGTCTGCAGTGGCCTTCGTGCGATATACCCCGTAAATCAACGATGAGTTTAGTAACTACCAGGTGAACTAGCTCCAGTCTCTGCACCTCGCCACGAGTGAACGGACAATAGGTGGGTGATCCGTACCAGAACATCGGCCTTATGGCGGAAGAGAAGAGGCGCGTGACAATCTGTTCAGACCAAATGCAGAAGCTGCGTTTGAACATTGTTAGGAATAATAATCCCAAAAACCACGTGAAGAATTACGTTTATCACCGCTGCTACGCCAAGGAACCAGCCACTAAGCTCACACAGGCAACAAGATGTACAGTTTTCATCAAAGGTGAAGGAGCACATGAACTCTATTGACACGTGTATGAAAACTAAGGTTAATAGATCGCTTGAAATCGCAGATCGATGGATGAATTTGAATGAATGTTCCGCAACAGTAACTAATGATAGCAGTGGTTTGCATTGAGAAGGCGTGCAGTACGTACCATAGCGTTCAAACCCTTTACACATTAAATAGCAACAACAATTGGTAAGAGCACTCCAAATCAAGCGATGTTATCTGGCCATTCGGAAAAGTTCTCGCTCTAAACGAAAAATATGAAACATAAATGCGTTTGAGCTAACGGATAAAAAGGTCGAAGCTGGATAACAGCAGCGTAAGCAATGTTCAGAGGTGGCGTATCAGGCAAGCGGTACAATGGCCTAAAGGCCATTGTACCGTCTGCCTGTAAGAAAGCATTAAGAAACTCTTTATAGAACCTGCACCCCTAAGCAACGACTTCGCTATCAACACAGCTGCGACCCGAGTGACAGCTCCCGATAACATCGCATAAGCGAACATGGACAATTAGTCGCTGAACCTCTTGGAAAAGAGTGAGCGCTGTAAGGATAAGAACCAAGAGAACTAACCGGTAGGTAGTCACGTTGAAATAACTGTCTTGTCAGGGTGTAGGCGGTTATTGGTTCGATGAACTACGCCTGTTTAGATAAAAACTAGAAGTCTAAAGCAAGAGACTACTGAGTGCCTTAACGCCGGTTTTGCTCATATGGACAAGTACCGCAGCCAGTATCCGGACTGCTCATAGTCCAACACAATGTGAGGCTACCTAAAGCAGACAGCGCCGTCAAAATAGTTAGGAGCCATCGAGGCGTAACTCTTTAAACCGCAGGTGCCGAGAGAATTAGGGTCTCAGAAATAAACAGAAATCACGATGTTGAGGAACCCGCCTGATGCAAGTGCACGGCCATGGTCAGTGCACAACAGTAAAGATCGCTGAAATTTAGTGTTCTGAGTATGACCATTTAGTTCAGTACTTTTTCGTTGGGCGTTCTTGCTCTGAAATGGCAGTCGTCCATTCTGCATCCGGTGATCCAACGATGCGTAAAAGCCTAAGGTTGCGGTTGATCAGGATAAGCGGGATGCCAACGGTATCTGAGATGTGAATGACTGGTAGTCTTACACGAATTCAATTATCTCACCAACTAAAAAGTGTTTTAAGACCACTCGGTTATAATCGACCCCACTAGCAGATTAAGGTTCGTGTGCTCGTACTGTCCTCCCGAGCGTGCTAGTGTAGACGGGTACTAAATATGACAATACATGCAGAGCGGAAACTAGTTAAAAACAAGGATTAGGCCACTAGTAGGAGGACAATGAGGAAATCGATGGCATCGCAACTATAGGTTCAATCACTAAATCAACTGGCGAGAAAGCAGGAAGAGAAGCAGCCAAAATGAACAAGTAGACTAGGTATATGGATAAGCGCGTGATGGGCAATAAGTTAAACTTAATAGGTTTGAATAACGTTTTGGAGTGACAGCAAGGACATACCATGAGTGGCTCCAATGTTATACTTACGTTTAAAACCAGTCTTGTTGAAGAAAGTGAGTAGATAAACGCTAAGAAATCAAAGAATAAAAATAGTACAAAGTATTTGACCGATCAGTTTCACTGCTTACGAAAGTCTGCTTTCATTTGAGAGCAATGGTTAAGTTCATTAGCCATAGGGAAGTTTGATGGCAAAGATTTGATTAAAACGCTGCGTTTTACCTGAAAGCGAGCTCGTAGGAAAATGTGTGCTTCCAACACCATTTCAAAATGGACGCTGTCTTCCGCGTTCGAGACTTCGTCAAGTAACGCAGACATCACACATAAACCGAGAAGGCACTTTTGGCAGGCTGAATCCTGTAAAAGAGAGACAAAACATAAAGTGTTGATGAAGAAAAACGCTGCATAACAAGAGTATTGTGATACATGGATGGAGCGAATGAAACGGTGAAAAGGTAACAAAAAGTGTTCACTCGCTAACGGTAATCGGTGGCACATAGAGGGATTCAAAGACGTAGGAGAAAACATGGAACCTAAGTATACGTGCTGCAGTGATAGATAAGAGGAGTTCATTGACCGAAAGACCAGTCACGATTATATCTGGGGTGTAGGTGATACAGTTTTCATAGTGATTTTGGTTGAAGAAAGATCAGTTAGTAATGGAGCATGACACAATAACAGCTTAGAATGGACGAATGACCTCGAGTAGCTAACTAAATTCAGGAAAACTTATGAAAATAGCCCGCTCACCTGCTTTGGAAGGGGATCCTCAACACCGCATTCGAGCAAAGGACGAACTAGATTTTCAATATGTTCGACCAAACGGAGCATCAGGTCGCATGGAGGACCAGGGTCATCTGGAGGATTCGTCAGGACGCGATGGCGAGTCCATCGTCTCTGACTGGGGGTCATGCTTACCGGTGTGTCTGTGCTGGTTGAGCGCCATGCGGCTGCAACTTGCTCAGCGAACGCAGCGGCAGCACGTTTCGCAAGTGCGCCTGCAGCACCAAGCACACGTTGTCGAGGCGCGGCAGAGATCTAGAAATCAAAAACGTGTGCAATTGTATTGGCCACGTTAGTGTCTGAAATTAAGTTAAACAACCACTTACTTACCCTAGGCTGCAAAGTTGATAAAGGCAAAACAAACTGATATTTACGTGAACGGCCGATGGGTTTATTCAAGCTAAACTCAGTTACAAGAAATGACAACATGAACGCAGCCCGCTAGGCACATTATAAGAGCGATAAGAGTGGTTTCAGACGACGGGCTGCATGTGATCGGTCACAAGGATACCTTAGTGGAATTTTGCAGCCATTCCTGAGCTGGATCAACTCCCAAGTTATCAACAGTACGCCGTCACACTGTACCAAGGCTTCGCTGCCACGCGACCGCCACCAGTCGCGTGTGGGCTGAGGATGCTGCAAAGATGCCCCGCCTAAGCGGATTCGAACAGTTAACCGAAGGATTGCAAGGCAGGCGTGCAATCCTTTCGGCCACCGACCAAATCGTTACCCATTTTAGATCAAATCGGGTAATCGAACGCCCCAAATACTCAGAGGATAGTTGCTGATTTGGACTATAAAGGTAGGTATTCTAAAATTAAACCTCTCAGGGAATGGATAAATTGATTGCCTTCTGTCCAAATAGTTTCCCTGTCAGCGCTTTCGCATTTCTTTTTCCCAAGACGCGCGGCCCCATGATCATAAACCAAGTAGCAAGGTGCTAACAGTGAACTGCTGAGTCAAACAATAAAACTAGATCGCAGACCAAATGGAGGATCGTCCATTGCATGGGATAATACCACTGCAATCTGTCAAACCAAGGACTAGCAACGATTTCTTGGATTCAGAACCCCAGTGGAACTGATGCGTGCTACGCTATCGAAGGGGGTGAAGGGGCTACCGAACTTAAGGCCTAGTAACAAGACTTACACATATTGCGTCTTTGGTGATGTCGAATTTGCAGCTCAAAGTACTTACGATGTCGCAATCTGCGGACGTGGAAAAAATGCATTTGCCGATTAAATTAAAGTGAAAAGCCAGTTTCAAGGCTCTGTCGGAGTTATCAGAGAGCGGATCAGAATAAAACAGATGAATGGAGTTTTGGCGAACGTCACAAACAATTGTAGATAAGTAAAGGTGAAGTCGATGGAAAGCACAGTGCGAGATCAAACACTTTCAGGCGTACATCATATCACTAAAATTTAAGGATTTCAAAGGACATTTATCTAGAAAAGTAAACATGGCTTATCAGTGGGTGTGCTTCATGTGGAATTGGGGCAGTTGATCGGTGGGCCGGGTGTCATAGAATCGTTTAGGCTCCCAATGTTAGGTCTACATGGACCCTTGGTGCTTAACTGGAGAATTTGTGTCTGAGATGCGTACTCAGATGGCTTGATAATAAAATAGAGCTGAACATAAGAAAGAGCAACGAAGTTCGCGTTGAAACTACGTTGAATAAATAAATAAACTTGTATATTTGCCGACAAGAGATATGCGATCCCTAGGTGGGAGCAATCATCCGTACACAGAAGTAGGGATACATTTGCTGCGCGTTGAAACATAGTAGATAAAAAAATTCAGATAATGGATTTGCTCACAGATTAGCTACCCGATCGCTCACAACCTGCTTATACAATACGAATGCCTGTGCTACCATTACCAAATTTATTTCGTAGCGAAATCCGGCAGCGGTCAATGGCATGGTAACGAAGAGTAAATGGCACAGGCACAGTGTGTGTGTGTAATCGTAAAGGAAGAATGAAATTGAATGTATAATACTACTTGTGCATATACTCTTTAGAACAGATTCGGTTACATTTTATGGGAATTGCTGTGAGCCAAGTGTATAGTAAGAGAAGTCACTAGTTATTTGGAACGTTGCAATGTTTGCAGCTGTGCGCGCCTGTAGTGATAGTTAATTCCACCGTGGCATATCTTACTAAGATTGATCGGATAGATGGAGATGTACCGCAACTCAAGGATGGTGTTATCTGGGAAAACTCGCTTATTTATGTTGTTGACATGCCATTGAAAATAAATAAAAAGCAAAAAGCGAAAAAGGAAAAAAGAAACAAAATGGTTGATTAAATAAGACGAAAAATAAAAGCCAATATCCAGAGGGATTAAGAGTCAGAGAGAATAGAGCAAATGCAGGAGCGTCACCAGACTGGTAGACATAAGCGCTGCACTGGGACTGCGTGCGGATGCTTCGCCGCAATGCAACGCAAGCGGTGGAATGAAAGCCGGGACACTGCAAGTGGCCCAAAGAGAGCGGGATAGGGAATAAGAATCCGGGGTTTCAAAGCCACCATAACACGCATTTAGTAGTAAGTCTAAACGATAAGGTTTCTAACCTGTGCTGTTGTTGCTAATGAGGGCTACATGCAAAACGGCGATACCGACAACCGCTACTCAGTCATTTGCCCTACCATCGGCCTGGTACCATGCGGGCTTCACTCAATTAGATGCAGTACCGGTCAACACCATGGTTGACTGCATCCGGTTCCGGATTTGACTGTCACTGCGGCCACCACAGGGCGCATGCGGCTACAGAAGGACCATAGGTGGCTAGCGTTGCACCATCCATAGCTCGATCCACATACCCATATCCAGTGTGACCCCGACGGAATAAGAACGGGAGGCATGTGAATGCGAGCCACCTGTCAACAACGGAGCCGGCCCACACTCCTTCAACATGCACAGCAGCATCATTCCTGTCTATCTAGTAAGGAATCATACGTACCAGACGTACACCAAGCAGTGGCTGGCTCGTATTCCACTCCACACTGGATGGAAGCACTAGTTGAGCGTAGTATGCACACGAGGACCGTGACTCCGTCCCCTCCAGCAAAGATTAGCAGTCTCCGAGGGAGAGTAATAGAGGTGGGCTTCATTCTCAGTATTTACATCAAGCGCAACCACACCGGGGATAACAAACAACAACCATCCCCTGAAATTTAGGAAACCACACGCAGGCACACTTACAGGCAAACTGCAGCGATGATCTAACATACGTACCAGATCAATCGTACTATCATCATCATCATCATCAACAGCAGTACATCAGCCATTTGAACTGATGCTTCCCTGCCATACAAACATGAGCACCTATGAAATAAAGAAGAAGAGGGGGAGAAGGGGGACTTACCTGAAAACCTTAAGGCCTTAAGCAAACATTCATGGTCAAGGCGCCTATACCTTGTGTAGACAACATTCCGTCACAAACAGCTGGCTATCGTGCAAAGATAAGGCGGTATCGGCGAGACAGCTTCCTTGCGGCTTTCACTGCCACGCGTCATAATCAGCCATTACCCCGCAGATAACCCAGCACCAAACGCACTTTAAACAGGTAATCCGATTAGGAGACGGCAGCAGACGCGCCACCTCAAGTTCCTCGTTAGCAAGCGTCAAGGGGTCATCAAGTGGCTGGTGGTCCTGCAGCAACACTTTGCACTTCGCAGGTGCGAAGTGCATACCAAATAATGGAACCACTCTGGACAGGCCATTCAGGGTTGATTGTGCTGCCGCAACATCGTCGAAAAGCAAGACGATATCGTCCGCATAATCTAGATCAACTAACCTTCCACCATGCAGCACTTCAACGCTTACATCGTGAGATTCCGCAAGGTAACACTCCGTAATAGAATCCACGACGAAACTGAATAAAAACGGGGAAATCGGACAACCCTGACGAACGCCACTGGTAGTCGGAAAGCTATCCGATAGGACACCATAGACCCTGACGCGGCCTGTAGTGTTCGAGTATAGAGCACGAAGGATGTTCACATATTTCGTGGGAACACCTTTTCGCGTAAGTAATTCGAACAGAATCGATCGATCGACTGAATCGAACGCACTCTTGAAATCGAGGAACACAGCTATTGTCGATCTGCGGTATGCGTGGCGCTGCTCTAGCACCTGCCGCAAAGTAAATATATGGTCTACACAGCCACGTACTAGGCGAAAACCGGCCTGCTCTTCCTTAATCCGGGATTCCCGTTCTGCAGTGAGGCGACGAACGATAATCGAGGCCAGTAATTTTGTCACAACTGGTGTCAGGCTAATACCACTGTGGTTAGCACAGTCTGTGCGACTGCCCTTTTTGTATATTGCCACTATAATCGATTCGCTCCAATTAGCCGGCACACTCTCTTCGTTCCAGATACGTTCGAATAGGGAGGTCAGTGCCCTGCAGAGGACCTCACCTCCATCCTTAAATAGTGCAGGTGGGAGGGAATCCGGGCCAGCGGCACGAAAACGATTGAGGGCTGTGATCGCGTTTCGGACCTCGGCCTCCGACGGAGGCTCTAGACTAACCGTCCATGGCACGTCCTGCATCACTTGAGCAGGAAGAGGTCCGGGAGCAGGGGGCCAGCTGAACTGAGCTTCAAAGTGTTCAGCCCAACGAGCCATACGGTCCTCCTTACTGTGTATCAGCGTACCCGCGCTGTCTTGGATTGTCTCACTGACGCCTGGTTTTCTTGGACCAGTGGTGCGGATTAGCTGGAAAAGCATCCGGTAATTGCCTACTGCTCCGGCCTCCTCCATTTTTTGAGCCCGACTGGTCCACCAGGCTTCCTTGTCAACACGTAGGCTCCGCTTTAGTTCACACCTAATAGCTCGTCTGGTCACGTTGTGTTCAGAACCAGCCGGGAGGTGTCTTCTAGCTTCCAACAGGTTCACCGACTTCTCTGATATCCAGTGACTAATGCGGTGACGATGGATAGTGCCACAAGCAGATGCTCTTGCGTCGTGCATGGCGGCCGCGATCCTATTCCACTGAAGTTCAGTGTCATTAGGACAAGACAGCGAGAGTTCGGTATGCAGTGTGTCTTGATAGGCTTGCCTGACCGAGGGCTGGGACAATTTCTCCGTTGCCAATCGGAGGAGACGCTTTGTGCGCCTCCCGGTAAAGTTCATGGAGAAAAGACAGCGCACCAAGGCATGATCAGAGTCGACACAGGTACTCCAATACGAGCGGCAATCCAGAATGGAACCGCGCCATCTGTAACTTATGGCTATGTGGTCAATTTGGG